GGGGCTCGACATAGTAAGTTTCATCCGCAAGGAAATTAACTGCTTTACTTAGTAGAGTGTATCGAAAGATGGCACCTTGCGGTACACACATGTCTGCGAGACATCGGATTCTCCTGGCAGGGCAAGCGTGCCGCCGATGAAAAACGCTGCCGCTAGGATCGAGGTAGTGAAACGCATGGTGAGCTTTGGGAGTGACTTTACAGTGGAGAGACTTAATTGACAACTGGAGTTGATGGTAGGTTATCTTGCGTGCAATGCTCGGCCTACTTATACACCTGTTGGTACATGGGTCTCTATCAACCTAACCGTATATCGGACGATGTACGCTCGAGGGATTATTGTGAAGCAGGACCGATGCACTGAACAGCAGGATCAGTGGCCCACACCTTGTGGTCGCCGACTGATCGTATACCTTGATGAACGATGCAAGAGATACTGTACAATGGAGATACAGTACTAGGTCAAAAGTTTCGCTCGCCAAGGGCCGATCGGCCGCAACACCACACTTTTGCAAATGCTCTTTTTAGTGATAACTCCACCAAAATCGCATAGTTTTAAATGTTTAAAGCGCGGGATTATATTGTTAATAGCTAATACTTCGTTTGCCAACCTCTAGCTTTAATATAAGCTTTAATGCGGCGTGGCATAGCCATAATAAGGGCGCGGATTAAGCTGCCGGGGATGGCCCGCCAGCACTTTTTCAGCGCGTTGCAGAACCCATCCCACTCCTCTTCTGCCCTTATAATGTTGTTATACTGCGGGTACTGAGTGAATACAAGCTTCTTAAGGTGCCACCAGAGGTGCTCGATTGGGTTAAGGTCTGTTGAGTATGGTGGCCATCCGATCGCATGAATGTGGTGAGTTTCCATGAAGCTTGCCACCGCGCGCGCGGTGTGTATGCTCGCGTTGTCATGCATGAATAGCTGGGAATCTCTCCAATGAGGCAGAAGACCTTGCTGCAACGCTTGTATGTAGCTTTGGGCGCTGTACCCACCGTGGGGAGCATCAAGATCTCGCTGCATTACGATGAGATCACTCCGTCGAGGTTGCCCGCGTTCATCGAGCCATATAGCCGCCCACACCATTTGCGCAGGCTTGCGCGCAGTCGACAGCTCCGTAAGCATCCTTGTCTTCCATTTCTCATCGTCGTAGCGAAAGCACCACTCAGTTGTGTGGCCTGAGCCCTTCTGAATAGAGCACTCGTCAGAGAATTTAAGTATGCGGCGATGCCACGGGTAGCCGCGATACTCACGAGCGAACAACAAGCGTGCGCGCGCACGTCGTAGGGTAAGCTTTGGACGCTTTTTGCAGCGTACGTGTAGTAAACTAGTCTTTTTTATAACCCGATAGAGTGTAGAGCGGCTAGGTGGCTTTAATAGGGTGCCATCGGGTAGGTAGACTTGAGCGATTTCAGCGAGTTCTGCGTAGGTTATCTTGGGATTTTTTCTGACAGCGCGATACACCAGCTTGCGCGCATGCCTCGAAAGTATTTGCGGACGCCCGCTACGAGGTTTGTCTTGTGTTGTGCCTGTTGTGGTTGCTTTTGCGCGGAGGCGTCGTATAGTTGATTCCGCGCGACTACACGCGTTCGCCACCTCACTGGCCGTACAACCAGCATTTAGCATACCGATGGCAATATTGCGCTCAGCAGGACTCATATTTGGGCCACGGCGCACATTTCGTGATAGCTCACGTCCAAAAATACGCGGTGTAGACATAGTTGTAGTGGGTTGAAGTTGAGTTGTAAGTGTGGTGGGGGAAAATTATTACGCTAGTGTGGGCGAAACTTTTGACGCGTCGCTGTATGATGACTATAGGGTTAGTATCTGCTCTGTAAGGAACCTTTTCAAGTAGTGCTGACGACAGCAGCTGCTCTATAAGCAACCTTTCCACTTAGGGCAATTGAGCAGTGCTAAGCTCACATCTCAACGCCAAGCTACGGCACATTCTAATTAAGGTAAAGCTTCTGTTGAGCACTACCGTGTGTAGGACGGTATAACATCAAATTGTCGTTATGCTTGATATCCGCGGTGAAATGCTCAATTAAGTAGTTCTTTACTACATGTGCCGTTTCACTCTTGCGGGTAGGCGGGTAAATGGGGTCAATCCAAAATATCATCTTTTCGCAATAACTCCGCCAGCTGTCACGGCGCTGACCTGGATAGCCAATTAGAGCGCGCCAAGCTGCTAAGCGAGCAGCTGCGCGATCACTGAAATTCCTGCGCGAACGCGCCCCGTCGTACGCTCCTTGAGCTACGTCCCTGTCTTTAGCCTGACCCCGTACTGTCAGCCTTACGTAGTGAATACATACTGTTCGCGTGCACCTACCTACCCCGCCTGTAAGCCCCGTGACACCAGCGCCAGTCCAATTTAGAAAATAGCTAGCTTATTTTGAAGCTCTTTTATTATCGTTGCGGAAACATATGGCCCCCCTTGCTAAATCACGTGAATATCCTAGTCGATTACTAGTAGTAATCGTCACCAAAAGCAGAGTGAATGTTCACGATTGGTCATGGTTAGGGTAGAGTAGCATGTAGGGCTTTAAGTAGACGTTTTGGAGACTTTTTAGAGGCCTGTATAGGTGAATACAGTGTAGTAGTGAGCTTTTAGGAAGTTGTAGAGCGTATTAGTGGGCGTTTAGGAGGTTGTAACAGGTGTAGGATACCTCAGGGGTAGGGGTAGGTAGAGGCGGGGTAGTGAAGGTTTAGGACGGCGTGAAAGCTTACAGGGGTTCTTAATAAGATAATCGGTCCTAAAGCGGCGTACTAGGGTGAATGTAGGGCATGCAGGAGTCTCCGGATGTGCCGGAGACATGGGAGGAAAGCTAAATCGCTAGGTGTATACGGTTTTGCAGTACCCACCCACATTTCTCAATACCCATCTACATTCCACCTGATGTTTCTCTCCCTACAGCAGCGACGAGGCGTTGATTGAAGTTGGTTTCGGCAACGGTGAAGGTGTGGGATCAATTTGAATTATTAGGGAGACGAACTACGCTTATACATAATAGTTAATATGCCCACCACGTCGTCGCGGCGTCGTACGCTTACCCAGAAAGCTCGTGAGGAGCAGGAAAGACGCCAGAAGCGTAGTAAGAGACGTCGTAGGATCATGGAGATCTCCGATATAAGCAGTGAACGTTCAGCGACGCCCTCTACTCCTTCACAGCCGTATCAGGACCTCTCCCAGCCAGGTGCTAGAGCTCAGCTAGTAGATGAAGACAGCGGAAGCGATACTGTAGCTGATGAAGAGATCTACGACGACGACAACCGGCAAGACTCAGCTCTTAGCAGCTTTTCTGGAGGTATCTTCGTCGGAGATCGCTCAAGCCCAGCTATACAGGACGCCCAGAACGCTCCTAGAGTGAATTACATGAGTCGTTGGCGTGTATTCACTGGAAGGGAGGCTCTCGGCCGCCAGGAGACTTCAGCGCAGCACTCTAAGAAGGTTACCTTGGCCACCATTATGAGCTGGGCAGAAGCTCGAATTGCGGAGCAGCTACCAATGGTGTATACGATTACGAGACTCACTGCATCAATATACTTCCAGAAGCAATTAAAGCAATCGTTCTGGGTACAATCCCTTAGCAAAGGAGACAACCAAGCGTTCAACCAGTTCCTGGGGCTTCTGCAGAAGAAGAGAGAGGAGAGAGACAGAGCCAGGGGGTCTCCAAAGACGATATGGGTCGACTTTGACCTCTACGTAGAGCCAGCAGACCGCAGCTTCGGCTTAGGGCGTCAAGGCAATCTTTCTGGTACTGGTCGCAACCCAACTGAACGTCAGTTGCTTCAATTACCGACTACTGCAGCTGAGCTTCTTGCTACAGAAAGGCAGGTTACAGAGGTAATTGCGAAGTGGAGATGTGAGCATCAGGGCTGTTCGAATTACTCCTATACTTGCTGGGTTGCTGGTCTTGAACCCGATGAAAGAGGCCCTGGAAGAGTAGAGAACCATTACCCAGTACCCAAAGGAGTACTTGATATATGGAATCGGGAGATTCGAAGAGGTGTTTCTACAGCACAAGACCCGTCAGAGAACCTTAGGACTCTCCTCCGTCAAGAGAGAGAGCGTCGGAGAAGTGGAAGGAGAGATAACAACAACAACACGGAGATCCTAAGTGAAGTAAGTTCAACATTAAGAGAGCTTGCGAGACTCTACGGCGCTAAAGCCCAGGCAGACCTTGCTGCCGCTGCTCCACCAGCTGAACACGTACCGTTTGGAGGCTCTCATTTCCCTCTTCGCGTTGCCCAGGCCTTCTTCCAGTGGTGGTACGACCATGAGGAGAAGGAGGATATTAAAGACCGTATCGCTTTGATTGGAAACCGAGCTGTAGAGGAGAAGATCTCAGTTGACGACCTCCGTGGGTTAACTGTGAGGGACTGGAATCGCAAGTTCCAGCAACCCCTGGCGTGTCTCCTTCGAATGAGGCAGCAATTAGAGGTCTTTGTTAAGGAACCGCTGTGGGAGACGTATATAAACGATGCTAGAGGCTGGGATTATAGTGTATTTGAGCCTGAGGTGTTAGAGCAGCTTGCCCAGGACGCTAGTCTCTTTATTTTAGACTTAACATAAAGTTCAGGGGCTTTTCTCGCAAAATAGCGTTGGTTTTACGCATTCTACTTATGCAAATCTTGAGATTCTAGTCCTAAATCCAAGGCGCTGAGTCATAACATATTTCTTGTGAAGAATCCCGACTTTAGAAGCGATTAGATACTGTTAAGGGGTCAACTCAAAGACAACCCACATCTGATCAACAAGTGCGGCTACACACTTGCTGTCATTAAGGAGACACTGCGACTCTGGCCTCCGGCATCCAGTATCCGTACCGGACGCAACGATTACTTCATCAAAGATCCGGCAACCGGTGTTATGCTTCCAACTGATGGACTGGTATGTATAACTCCTAGCTCAACCCTGACTTGCCTCCAGCATCCCGCTTCACATCCAGGATCTAGGATTGTTGCTGATTGCTAGCTCATCAGAATGTATGGACTCCGTCAATGTGCATCCATCGTAGCACTCGCTATTGGGGCCCCGATGTAGACGAATTCAAGCCTGAACGCTTCCTACCCGAAAACGCAGACGAGCTTCATGCTAATGCATGGCGACCATTCGAAAGGGGACCAAGGAACTGTATCGGTCAAGAGCTGGCTCTCATTGAGATGAAGGTCGTACTCGCGATGACAATACGAGAGTTCGAAGTTAGATCTGTCTTCGAAGAGCTTGAGACGCTTAGTACAGACGGAACGTTGTGGGCAAAAGAAGCGAGCTTCCGCAAAGGACCACAAGAGGCCTTTGGTGATCCGATGTATCAAGTTTTGCTTGCGGCTGGAAAACCACGGGAGGGTCACCCAGTGAGGGTCAACAGGAGGAAAATGGACATCTGAAAAAGGTATAGCTATCGAATAAGAAAGGCCATGCATTGTGATATAAGGAGACCCCAAATTCTTAGTTTAGTAATTCAACAAAATAAATTTGCCCTCACGCAAGTAGCGGTCTTCGTCAATAGTAGTTGGAGAATGACAATTTTCCAGGCTTTGCTAGGGAACCTCGCCGGTGGCCATTGTTACAACTATCAAGATGCACTCGTAGGTATTGTCAGATTCAGGGGCGGCTATGATGCAATCGACAAAGACTACCATCGGATCACCTTGACATGGTATGTGTTTTGCCCGACTTCGACTTCAGATCAAACCACGCCATAATGCTAGCCCGCGAGCGGGGAAGATCATGTAGGTTGTTTCTCACAAGATATCCCGCCTATCATTTCTATGCCACTTCAGTGGGGGTCTGACTCCATATCTCCCCCGAACTCCCCACGACCGCATAGCCCTATATCCTTAGTCTGGAAGCAACAACTTCCAATGCAACCGGACAGGATTACGATATTGGACGGCATTATGCATCTCATCTCACTTGATCGTGTATTGAACCAAGTACAGTTGCTATTGTCTATCACCAGTGACAGCTGGATGGAGCCAACTGCGTATCGTCTCTTGTCCATACGACCGTTACAGCATGGAAATAATCGTGGACAGGTAATCGAAAAAGTGCCGGCTTGGCACTCTAATATTTTTGCCACCCATCTGGAGGCTACTGGGACGGTCCATTGTCTAGACAGCAGCATTATCTCGCATACTGCAGCTTGTTCTTAATGACGGGTATTGTCGAATGGAATAAGCTCAAGCCATTACTTGTTTGGGTGCTGTACTTCGCCGCGATCGAGACAGACGATCTAACGGAACGGGTTTATTACGTCTCTATGCTGGCAGTCCTTGTGAGTAGCATGCAGCGGCAGAATTTAGACGTAATTATGCTGGTTATCAAAAGTGTTTTTGGCAACGATGAGCTAATTCGAGACGTCGTAATGCAGATCGTGAAGCAAAATCCTGTGGATACTACGAGATCAGTTGATACTCCACCAAGATTTTTGAAAGGTTTTCCGGTTTAATTGACAAAAGCTAGATTATATTAGGAAAGAAGACGCCCCTGTCGCTACATACACTGATAAGCTTGATATATATGCAGATGACTTAAGGATTAGGTGAAGACAGGTCCACTTTCTTGGATTGATATCCTGAATTAGTTCGATAGCTTATTTGGTTCTTGAGGTTCTCACTTTTGACAAGTATAAACGTTCCTATGAGACTGGTGCCGCGTAAGGAATTTTCTCCACGTGCTTGCGCAACATATGGGCAAAATTGTGCTCGTTGAAGTGTTATTTCTCGAAATGTGGTCGAAAATGGATGTTTTGGTGTCGCTATTGAAAGTATTCGGAGACAATTTCTTAGTCCAACTGGGACGTTGCATTGCCACACAGATGTAGCGGAATTTGGTCATCCAAGAATGTGCGCATACACCATGTGCATAATACGATAGTGTATGCTGAGTCAAGATTAGTGATTCTAGTTCCAGAACCAACTGAATTAGGAAAGTGGGGACTAGAAAATTGACTGCACAGATTCACCAGGCACCGAGCCGAGGCAGGCCGCTAGTGCATTTCTAAGTAGGAACACATTCAAAACCCGGCCGTCCACTCTTGGACGAACGTGTTTCTTTGTTCAGATTTTATCCAGATACTTTCCCTGCGTATCCATTGCCACTCGTGGGTTTTTGAAATGGCCCAATCCGAACCAAAAAGCTTTCTGGAATCTTTGGCGTTCAAAGAGCTCGGAAATGGCGAATTTGAGACTGTACATCCACCGCAACGAATGGGTAACCCACTAAACATAGCATATGGAGGCTACGCACTAGCCACAGCGTGTAAATCAGCCTGTCTTTCCGTTCCTGAGGGATACCACCTATATTCGATGCTCGGCAATTACCTTAGCCCTGCATTCACCAATCGACCAATGCGCGCAAGCATACGGGCAATCAGGCAAACACGCACATTCGCAACCCGACAAGTTGAAGTAAGCCAGAAGCAAGACGACGGCAACTTGCGAGTGTGCCTGATAGCGGTGGCCGATTTTCAGACAAAAGAGAAGGGGACGTTACTAGAGTACTCAAAACCCCCAAGCAAGAAATACAGTCATTACAAAGACCTACCCACACAGCAAGAAGTGCATCGAAGGCTTCTTGATCAAGGCAAAATATCAAAATGGCTCCTCGATGCGCACGCCCAAGGCTTCAGCGTTGTAGACAATATCTATGATATGCGACCTTGTCCAGAAGGCATCTTCGCTCAAAACCTCTACGGCATGGCAAAATATCTCCCAACCACGCAAGACGCTCTGCCTTTACCTTCCCGCACAACAGCAGACTGGTTTCGGTGCCAGGAACCCCTCTTCACCGCCATCGACCATGCCACCAACCTCGCATTCTTCAGCGATACAGCGATTAGTTTTGCACCGCTAAGTTTCAGTCACATGTGGTATGACGACTGTGGGGCGTGCTCGAGCTTGGACTTTGCGTTGAGGTTCTTTAGGAGCGCGGATGTGATGGATCTCAATCAGTGGCACTTAAGGGAGCTGAAGACGTATGCAGGGAGTGAAGGAAGGACGTACAGTGAGAGTTGGATTTGGGATGAGAAGGGGAGGGCAGTAGCGTGCATGAGTCAGCAGAGTATACTGAGGGTGAAAGAGGAGAAGAAGACGCTGGAGCAGGAGAAGCTTTAGTGTATAAGTACATGGTGGAGAGAAAGAAATTATTGGGGACACAATTGCAACTTTAGAATTTGTAGGAAACGTTGGAAGCAAAGGAGCCTTAGCTGATCTAAGTTTGTGCTGCAAGCAAAGATGTTGACTCTGACCATTGTATTAACCCAGTACTGACTTGCTCTATGCCACTGGACATCTTGATGACTTAGAGTCTCTACGTGATAAGGACAAGAAAGGAATTTTGCTGACCAAAATGTTTTCGTAGGAGGAAAGCTGGTCATCTGCCGCCCATTTTGTTACGTTACCGTTATACCGAACCATAGCAGATTCCTCATTCCCCATTCTTCTCTTGATGTTGTGCTCAATATCTCTTCTGATAGATTTTTTCGTTGTTATAGGATTTATTCCGGAGCTGTGGTAATGTATTTGCTTTATTATGTTTTCAAGCTATAACACAGAGCCGAACTGGCGAAGGTGTCGCCGTAGTGAACCCAGCGTGCAGAATGGAAGAAGCTATACTAACAGTAACAAGGCCTTGATAGGCTTGATGATAAATGCCGCATGAGTCGGTTTCTTTTTCGCTTGGCCCATCAGCGCGCACTCCGCTGCACGTTCGCGGTATGAACCCTGCGTAACGCCAAGTCGGCTACTATAACAGCGCTTAGATCCAGTTAAAAGACAGGAACTCATGATGGCATACAACCTAAGTCCGCTTTTTGATTCACACCTTTTACTTCGTGTGCTTTGACTAAATAGATAGAATCTTGCCTTCTTGTGCACTCAATTACAGCTGATCTTAAGACTTGCTAAATTACGCTTTCGCCACGTCGCTTGCATTTTCGGATTGTTACTCGATAGGACCTGTAAAGCACTGGCAACTGGTTAGTTACAGTGCATCTAGGCTGGTCACCCAGGCTTGCTCTGCAGACCACTGGGGTATCAGGATTTCATACAGTATTACTTGAACATGATCTGTCGTCGTATGGCACGGAATGGTGTACCTTATTTTTGTCAGTTAGCATTAGCTTGTCTCATCCATGATCATCTTTGTACTGCGAAGAGATGGCTTACATGGTCAAGTCGCACGAGTCGTAATTCGCGTTCAATGTCCTTCCTAAGCCTAGGCTTAGACGGTCTAGGCGCGTCTGCCTGTTCGATGTGTCCTTCCTAAAAATCGCCCATTCATTCATCCCGCCTCAGCTATCCGCTACAACCTTACAGCTACTTGCCTTTGGGTCTTTCGATTGCTGCTGTTACATACACGACACGCTCCGCGGTGCAACATTCAGGATCCAGCGAGTCGACCATTTCCTAACGACTGTCAACTGCTGAGTGCTAGCCCCGTCGCGTGGGACCATGTCGCACAGTGAAGATGGTGTGGTGCTTCAAGAAATAGGCCTTGCGCTATCTCTCTTTCAAATTGCACTCCCACTTTCCGAGATGATCCTCTAGCGAAACAAGGGTCAGGCGGGAAAGCGAGAGCGAGCGTAGCGTCTCTTTGTGAGCGGATAGAAACTTAATGAGCGTGCTCTTGTATGTTTTGATCTCAAATCCAATGATTCGTTTTCTTTTTCTATGGCGAACGACGAAATAGATAGTCAAGCAGCGGAGTAGAGTTCCGCGCAATCGTGCTCCGAGTGCAGAATTTCATCTACGAGTCTTGAGACCACTAGACGTAGCTGTATAAGACTTTGCGTTGAGAATAGGACGCAAGACATGTATTGTGCAAGTGGCCTGCTCAAGCGCATGTCCGATTTATGCAAGATCCTACAAAACCTCACGCTACTGTAACATGCAACAAGGTGAGACACTCATCCTACCGCGTGCTGCAAAGATCTATAGGATACCTAAGACAGACTTGGGAACAATCAAGACACTAGCGGTTTTGTTTCCTAATTAAGCATGTCTCAGATCACTCCAAGGTTCTGTGCCACCCTATATTAGGAAACAAAACCGCTAGTGTCTTGATTGTTCCCAAGTCTGACCTAAGAGGACGCGTACTCGACGGGATCACAGGTTTCAAGACAGGTATCTTCGAAAGAAAGAGTAGGACATGATCTTTAAGCTTGCGCTCGTCCACGATGTGTGAGAAATTTAGCTCGAGCTTGAAAGTGTCAAAGTTATAGCCCACTCTGCTTGCTGAGTGTCATAAGAAGCCAGTTGGCAAGACTTCAGCCACAAAGATGAGCTCGAAATCACTTCCAATCAAATGAACGACTATAGTAGAGCCCTTGTTGAAGACAAGAGGTAATGGGAGGCTGTTCCCAGCTTGTAGAGAACACGGAAGG